AGGCCTCAAGGCAGGGGATGTTTTATATCGGAGTTGGCATTTCCTAGCCTTTGCCTAGAAAGGCCTATTCTACAAGGCACCAGGGCATGAAGCTACATGAAGTTACATAAAAACTAACTAAGATTGTCAAATCTACTTTCAGGTATTTTTGGATATTTATCATTATTATCTTTGCATCTAACCTCTATTCATGCAGAGTTTGATTATGAAGCCTTTTCGGAAAGATCAATCAAAAAGCCCATCTAGTATTTCTTAACAATAGTCATGACAATGACTATTGTTTAATAAAATAATAATAATTAGTGTTTAAAAGATTGTTCAAGAAGTAGATATTTATATAAATATATATTTAAATGGTGATTAAATGGTCTAGCCTTAATGTCAATTTATGCAGAAATGGTTCCAGATAAATACAGGGTTAACAACATTTTTTCAGCTCCGAAGAGAGATGTTTAAAGTTGATATTTAAGTCTTAAATAATTGGCTATTATTGAATAATAGTTATTATCTCTTATATTTACAATCATTTTTTTGTTAAAACGTTTTTATAATTTTTTTATAGAGCATTTTATTTTTTATTTGTTTTAAATGTTTAATAAATAAATTTATTTTCTTTTTTGTGTACATTTCATAATCTTCGACTAAAATGTTAAATGTTTTAAAAAGTGTTCTAAACTAAATAATTTAAACCACTAAATAAAAAATTTAAATATGTGTGTAAGTTTTGTTAACGTGTGCTACAAAAAGAGTGCTCGATAATCATAAAAAACAAAGATATAATAAATTAGCTTACTGAGGATCCTATAGATGGTGAGACTGTTCAAATCTTTTTTAATATATTTTTTTAATATATATTTATATATAGTAGCATACAATTTTAAAGTAAACATCTTTTGAATATATCACGATATTATCATATTGTTAATGCAGTGGTTGTTAGTTGCATTTATTCTATTGGTAACAAAAATATAAAGGAAAGAATCCAGAAATCGAGGGTTTTTTTTTTCAACAATAACAATACTTTTGCATTGACGCCTGTTAAGAATACGAAAAAGTTTAGAAATGGAGAGCTAACTTTAGGCAGCTTTACAACTTACATATGGAGTGCTAAGTCCTATGGCTTACCTTCTAGTTGGTGCTCTTTGTTAAGTAAGTTAGACATTGCATGTCAAACTTACGAACAGAATAGCCAAGGCAAATTCTATGTTTTACCATTAACTATTTTACTAGAATCCATTAAAAATAAATGAAATATATATATATATATATATATATATATATATATATATATATATATATATATATATATATATATATATATATATATATATATATATATATATATATATATATATATATATATATATATATATATTCCGAATAATATTAAATGCAACTTTTTTTTAACTCAATTTGTTCAACGTTGAATCAACGTTAATACAACGTTGTGCCAACTTAAAATAAAATGTTGGGCAAACGTATAAAACAAAACGTTGAATCAACGTAGAAAATATAACCATTTTCCAACTTTATATAAACGTTTTATCAACATTGGTTTTTAGTTGTTGGCGACGTCGCATTTGTAACCATAATGATATAAAAAAAACACGTTGGTAGCCGATGTTTGGCCAACGAATATATATATATATATATATATATATATATATATATATATATATATATATATATATATATATATATATATATATAATATATATATATATATATATATATATATATATATATATATATATATATATATATATATATATATATATATATATATTAGGGTCGATTTTTTAGTGTCGATTTTTTAGTTTTTTTTATGTAACTCAGTGTGAAAAATATGAAAGTACTTTTTTTTGAAAAAAACAAACTTTAAGCTACTTTTTTTTACCTTGAAACCTTTTTTTTTCTTGACTTAGTTTTTCTTCTTGAAAATTAATTTTTTTGGGAATCTCCGAAGAAGACCGCAGTTATTTACCAAATCATCTAATAACAAAATCTTTAATATTATGCAAAAAAAAAAAATATTTCAAAATTTAGTTTAACGGACAACACGATAATTTAAAACATTGGCTCTCCTATCCTTTTCACAAAAATCTTTTGTTTTTCTTTGTTTTATTTGATTAAATTGCAAATACGAGTTATGATAAAAATATATATATATATATATATATATATATATATATATATATATATACATATATACATACATACATACATACATATACATATATATATATATATATATATATATATATATATATATATATATATATATATATATATATATATATATATATATATATATATATATATATATATATATATATATATATTCCGAATAATATTGCATGCAACTTTTTTTTAACTCAATTTGTTCAACGTTGAATCAACGTTAATACAACGTTGTGCCAACTTAAAATAAAATGTTGGGCAAACGTATAAAACAAAACGTTGAATCAACGTAGAAAATATAACCATTTTCCAACTTTATATAAACGTTTTATCAACATTGGTTTTTAGTTGTTGGCGACGTCGCATTTGTAACCATAATGATATAAAAAAAACACGTTGGTAGCCGATGTTTGGCCAACGAATATATATATATATATATATATATATATATATATATATATATATATATATATATATATATATATATATATATATATATATATATATATATATATATATATATATATATATATATATTAGGGTCGATTTTTTAGTGTCGATTTTTTAGTTTTTTTTATGTAACTCAGTGTGAAAAATATGAAAGTACTTTTTTTTGAAAAAAACAAACTTTAAGCTACTTTTTTTTACCTTGAAACCTTTTTTTTTCTTGACTTAGTTTTTCTTCTTGAAAATTAATTTTTTTGGGAATCTCCGAAGAAGACCGCAGTTATTTACCAAATCATCTAATAACAAAATCTTTAATATTATGCAAAAAAAAAAAAATATTTCAAAATTTAGTTTAACGGACAACACGATAATTTAAAACATTGGCTCTCCTATCCTTTTCACAAAAATCTTTTGTTTTTCTTTGTTTTATTTGATTAAATTGCAAATACGAGTTATGATAAATATATATATATATATATATATATATATATATATATATATATATATATATATATATATATATATATATATATATATATATACATACATACATACATACATATACATATATATATATATATATATATATATATATATATATATATACATACATACATACATACATATACATATATATATATATATATATATATATATATATATATATATATATATATATATATATATATATATATATATATATATGTATATATATATATATATATATATATATATATATATATATATATATATATATATATATATATATATATATATATATATATATATATATATATATATATACAGGGCCGGCGCGAGTAGGTGTATATATATATACAGGGCCGACTAACTAGGTCCAATTTGCCGACTAAGGGTCCAATTTGCCGACTAAGGGTCCAGTTTGCCGACTAAAAACCATTGATGGGGGAGGTGTCACCCCCCCACACCCCTCTATCGCGCCGGCCTTGTATATATATATATATATATATATATATATATATATATATATATATATATATATATATATATATATATATATATATATATATATATATATATATATATATATATATATATGTATGTATGTATGTATATATATACTGAAATAAAATGCATGCAGTAACTTATAAATGAGTTTATTTTGTTGTTTGTATGTTAAATCCCGTTTCATTAAACACAAAAAACCGTATAATCTCTTACAGTATAGTTTACCCCGTGCATTTAATGAAGTGCGCAAGGTATTGAGTAAATTTCTACGTTTAATTGCTGCACAAAGTTTATTTTTATGTAAAGATTTATTTTTACTATAATAGGTTAAGCTATCATGAGATTTTACTGAAAAAGTGAAAAACTATGGCGTGAAAAATCAAGCTTTAAATTGGTTTAAAAGCTACCTAAATAACAGACAACATTGTGTTACTATTGATAAAAAAAGTAACTCAAATTTACTGAGAACAAAAGTGGTGTACCCCAAGGTTCAGTTCTTGCTCCTCTTTTGTTTCTTGTTTATATAAACAATCTTCCAAATGCCTCTAATATCTTTAAAACTATAATGTTTGCCGACGGCACAAACTTATTTTACTCAACAAAGACAATCGAAGACCTTTTTAAAAAAACAAATGCTGAACTAAAAAAAATAAATATATGGTTTAAATTCGATAAACTGTCACTCAATATAGAAAAAACTAAGTACATACACTCTAAGAAAAAATCCGTTATATACAACGAATTGTATCTGTCGCTATTGCACAGGAAATCGAATTAAAATTTTAACGAATTGAAGTCCTTTAGGAATAGTCCGTTGAATTTACGGATTTATTTCGTTAGTGCAATGAATAATCCGTTAAAATTAAGGAGTTATTACACTAGGCAGCAAATTTTCCGCGGTTGTTATTCCTATGAAATAAATGTGTTAATAAGTTATTTTAGTGATTATTTCGTTAAAATCACTAAAATTTAAAATTAGAGAGGCCAGAATTGTGACTTCATAACCAAATAATCCTTATATTTGGTAATGTTTGTACTTTTATTTAATTGCATTATTTTATTTCCATATTCTACAATAAAACGTTTTAACCAAAAATTGTAAACTAACCAAATATTTGTAATATTTAATTCAATATACTTTAAATTACAATAAAAATACTTAAAAATTTTTTTCAATACACTATACTCAAGCTAGTACATTTATATAAAAAACACACATATATATAATAGATGTTTAAAATTAACCAATGCCAAGGTTTATTTTAAACATCTATTATATATATGTTTATTTTAAACATCTATTATATATATGTAATGCCAAGGTTTATTTTAAACATCTATTATATATATATATATATTTTAAACATCTATTATATATAGCGACCAAAAACATTGGTTTATCAAAAACCAATGTTTTTGGTCGCTAGTTTTGGTTTGGTTGGTTTAAATAGGTTTTGGTTATAAATACTGTTGTTACTCGTACACAGATTCGCACTTTAAATCGGACACCATGCTGTCAACTCCTAAAAGATTAATATAAAATAAGGAAAATATGGAAACTTAATAACATACCTAGTATAGAACCAAAATAAAATGTTACTGATAGCACTATAGAAAATGTTTTTGGTAATTCATTATATATAAATTTCTATTCTAAATTTTGTTATTTATTTATCTCTGATATCGTTTTTTAAAGATAAAGTTAAAAAGAACAAGTAAATTATATCTTTATTAAAATGTAAATTGAAAAAAAAGTATAAGATTACCTTGACATTATCTGATAACTGAAAGACTCAATACATTTCACATACATCAATACCTATCAGGAGCAAAAAATAAAGTCTCTAACCTTTTAAAAACTATGATAAATCAAAACAAGATTAAATATGCAGACCAAAAAAAACGCAAGTAACTATATAAAAAAATTAACTTTACAACTTATTTAAACTTACAGTCTCATACCACTTGTCACATGTTTAAAATAGCTAATTCTAAAATAATAGTGAATATAGAATATAGTAGAATAATAGTTAAAAAAGTGTGATATAAACTGTCTTAACTAAACTAAAAAAATATGTATGCCAAAAGAAATGCAAGTTAAAATACAATTTTTTTAAATTTACTAATTCAAACTTACAGTGGGATACCACATGCCACGTGTCTAAAACAGTAAATTTTAAAATAATATAAACATGCCAGATATAAACTTATTATTATTATTATTAATAGTTGAAACTCAACTAAATAAATATGCACGCCAATAGAAATGCAAGTTACAATATAAATTTTACAATCAATCTAAACTTACAGTATGACAGCTTATACCAAGTGTCTAAAATAGCAAATTCTGAAATAATATAAACAAGCCATACGCAAACTTAGTTGTAATCTAATTATATAAACATGAACTTCAAAAGAAATGCAAGTTAAAATATAATTTTTTTAAATATACTAATTCAAACTTACAGTGGGATACCACATGCCACGTGCCTAAAACAGTAAATTCTAAAATAATACAAACACATCAGATATAAACTTAGAATAAACTCAACTAAATAAATATGCAAAGTTACAATATAAATTCTACAACCAATTTAAACCTACAATGTGACACTAAATGCCGTGCCTCTAAAGCAGCAAATTCTAAGATATAAATAAATAAACATGAATGTTAAAAGAAAAAGAAGTTCCAATATAAATTTTTTAATTTTACAACTAGTTTTAACTTACAGTGGGATAACAAATGCCATGTGTCTAAAACAAAAAATTCTAAAATAACATAAACACACCAGTATAATCTTAGTTTATGATATTGGATGCAACATGTTTAATTTGGAAATTAATAAAAATTGCAATTTATAAAAGCATATTAACTAGCCATGTAAACTTAGCTGTAACTAACCTAAATAAATATACCTATCAAACTGTTAACATTTTTAATTTTACAACTGATTTAAACTGATATGGTATGTTACTACATGTCATATGTCTAAAATATAAGGTTAAACAGGACTATAAATAATCCATTTAGTCTATATTATAGAAATAATTGTTCAACTAACCCTTTACTACTAGTAAAGGATTAATTGAACTTTTATTTCTATAATATAGACTATATGGATTGCATATATTCTTGTATAATTTTCTAGATTTAGACATGTAGTAACTTACCATATATTATATGTATTAACTTACCATATATGTTATTATATATTATTTAGTAATGCTAATGGCTTTTAATTTAAAATAAAATAAACCTTATTGTTAAATTTTCTGTATAAAGCTTTATATAGAAAATTTAAAATAAGTTAAATAACCTTCAAAATAACATAGCGTAATTTAAATTATATTTATCCATTTGCTTTGTCTACTAAATGTAAAGCTTTTAAAAAATGGCATATTACACTTACTGCAATCAACTTTTATCTACGATGTAAATGTAAATGTGAGAAAAACGCATTCAAAACTTTATCATTTTCAAAATAAAAAGATATAAAAAACTGAAATTTTTTTTTAACTGATTAGAATATTTAATCCGTTGAATTAACGAAATTTCAAAGAATCTGTAAATAGTTAATTTTACTCCGTTAATTTTCTGGTTTCTGGTGAGGAATTAATCCGTTAATTTGACAAAAAAGCGCAATCCGTTACTTTTTTTAACGGACTGTTTTTAGAGTGTACTATTTCACTCTAATCAACAAATTAAAAAAATACCCCTGAACCTACCAACACATAATATAGAAAGTATAACCATCAAAAGAGTTCTGAATACAAAATTTTTAGGAGTTATAATTGACGAACATATCTCCTGGAAACCCCACATAAACTACATTGACACAAAAATAACAAAGAACATTGGTTTTCTATACAAGGCAAGACCATTTTAGTCACAAAAAAGTCTAAAACATGTATACTTTTCATTCATACATAGCTACCTGATGTATACCAATATAGTATGGGACAGTACCCACAAATCTAAATAAGAACCACTCTACCTACGTCAAAAACACGCTTCAAGACTAGTATACAACAAAAACAAATTTGCTCATGCTCAACCCTTATTGGAACAAATGAACGCACTAAATATATTTCAAATAAATATTTTTCAAAATATACTTTTCATGTTTAAATATAAACTAAATCTGGTTTCAGATTTTTTCAAAGAACACTTTTTTAAAAACAATATAAATAAATACAATGCAAGAGCAACAGGCAACTTTAAGATACCGTTTGAAACAACAAGACTCTCAAAATTCTCAGTTACATTTCGTGGTCCATATTTATTTAACAAATTAGTTTCCAGAAACGAATCACTATTAAACCTAAACAACGAACACTCTCTGAAAATAAAGCTAAAATCTACAATAGTCAACTTAAACAACTATTAGGAATTTTTAAAAAAATTAATAAAAAAAGTTAAAAAAAATGTAGCTTAACTTTTAATACAAATCGACAATAAAAAATTACAATATTAATAACAAGGTATATATGTACAACATACATATATACCACGTATGCAACTAATTTTTATGTGTATTACACGTCCAGAAAAAGGTACTCGATGACAAGACTGACTCAAGTCTTCTGCGAGCTTCCTACAACTACTAACAAATAATTCTTCTTATCAATCTTACATAAAACAAACTCCACACCTACCCCACATCTGCCCCACACCTACCCCACACCAACCTCACACCTATTTTTATACTTATTCAGCTATTTATCATACGTCTATATCTTACCGTTATATTTTTTGAATAAATAGTCAAAAAATAATTCAATACAGTATTGCTCTCGTAGTGAAAAAAAATAAATAAGATAATAATAATACGCGCACTTTATTTGCCTAAGCATGCAAATAAAGTGCACTCACTAGAACTCTTACTCCGTTTATCTGTTTTAAAAGAAAAAGCCTCAATTAAATGAAAACAAATTAATTATTTAAAAAAGAAAAAGGCTGCAAGAAATGCTATGGCAGTTGCATGGCATTTTGTTTACGTTTCATTTTATTTTCGTTCATTTACGGCGTTTTTTTAAAATTCAAGACTTAGAAAAGAGAATTTCAACCATTCATCAAGACTTTAAATTTACAAAGCATAAGAGGGCCAGAAAAACGGGTAACTGAGAGCTAAGTATGTCAAATCCGCCCTTTAGTACAAAACATTTTCATTTTTACAACCTTGGCGTATAAATTTATATAAATAAATTTAGCAAAAAAACCTTTGAATAATAAAATAAAGTTTAAAGTTTTGCTACAAGTTTTTTTTTTTTGTCTACACAGCCTTAATGAGAAGTACGACGTATCCTTTTCTTTTCTTTTTAATTTTCAGGCCATACCTTATATTTTAGACCATCCGCAGCATTGTTAACAGGTAATTAGTACTAACTAGGAGTAATTACATGAGAACATTAATAACATAATAAAAAAAGCTAAATTACCAGTCATTTTAGTACTAACTTTTTAACAGACTCTAAACAAACTAAATAAATTATAAAAAAAAAACGACAACCAACAATAAACAAAAGTTTGATAATTAAAACTACTATTTTGATCCTAAAATAAAAAAAGAACAACTTAAAACATTCAACTTAAAAGCTAAGAAAAATTTATCAGCTCTTATTTGCTTGGAGATCTTGTTTGAACAACACGTGAACTTTAAGAAACTCGTTCAGAAAAGCCATGTAACTACTTAAAAATGACGTAATACGACAGTAATCAGTAAAAGTTAACAGGAGGATTAATATTTAGATGAAAAACGTGCGAATAGACACTCAGAGAAAATAGATCGAAATTAAACAATACTAATACGTAATAAATTGTTTTACTCAGTAAAGCGCATGACTTAAAATGTAGCTAAGTACAATATTTACGTAGAAAAAATACTTAAATGTTTAAGTAAGATTTAAAAAAATACTTAAAAAGCATACTAAAAACTAATCAATTACAGTAACGCGAGTAAATTTAATTTTTGACTTTCCACCCATGAAAGGCATAAACTAAAAATATATTTAGAATCTGTCAGAATTACTGTAATGCTAAAATTCAAAAACTTATCCCTTTTCAAACAGATTAATTTTAGAACTATATATATATATATATATATATATATATATATATATATATATATATATATATATATATATATATATATATATATATATATATATATATATATATATATATATATATATATATATATATGTATATATATATATATATATATATATATATATATATATATATATATATATATATATATATATATATATATATATATATATATATATATATATAAACACACATATATATATAAACTTATCAAATAGGTTTATCCCAAGTGGCCTTTAGTGATCAACATTCGTTCAAATAAAACTAAAAAAACTAAAAAATAAATAAACTTTAAAGTTTTTCGTTTGTACTTTAGTTTCCGTAAAAAAACTAATTATACAACTTGAATCAAAATTTTTTTCTGCAATCGCAGCATTAAACGGTTAAAAACTAATCTCCTATCGACAACCGATCTTGTGTAAACCTAAATTTCCGATAGACAAAAAGATATATGCTAATAGTTGTTACTATTAAAGAAAGCATACTGTGATTGTCTTTAGCATATATTTCATTTGTTTTTTTAAAGAGAGGGGATGTTTATGCAGAGCTATAATTTTTTAATTAAAAACTTTATTTGTAAAGAACTATTTACTTATAAGATCAAATTCTCTATGAGATCAATTTCACTATAATTCACCATAAAATTCACAGTTTATCAATAAATTATGTAAATAAACACGCAGATAAACAGAACATTTTTAATATTAAATTGATTTGAATTATTTTTTTAAATTATCATTGAAAAATGTCAAGTAAAAGAAGAGTTATTAGTGACAGTGAACTTGATCTTTGTTCAATAGATTATAATATCATTGCGAATCTTCAGGAAGGTAGCAGTGGAGGTGAACATTGCTTCCATATAAATAAAAAAGGAGAGGTGACATGTAATGGTGACTTAACTGATAAAAATTCCATATTTAAAGTTTACACTGCGTATTTGGAAAACGTAAGTAGCAAAGTGTGTGTAATTCATTGTACAGCCAGAGATTTAGTTATTGCAATCTCTGGAAATAAAATATGCTCTAAAAAACCTTCAACAGACTATAAAAATCTCCAGAAAGCTATTAATATAGATGATGTTGATGGAGAAACGTTATTTGAGCAAATTCCATATCAAAAGAATCCAATCTGGTTTTCATACAGATTGTTTCGTAATAAAAACAAAGTTTTAGGATTTGACCGAGATGGAATTGGATTAAATCCAGATAATGTAGGTCTTTTCAACGACGAAAGTTTGTTCCAACCATTTCCTGCATAGTTTGCATTAACTTACTTCTGAATCTTAGCGAGTTAGAGGCATTATACTTTTTAATTTATAATGTTGCAATATTATATGCAATATAATTTATAATGCTGCAGTTGTAAAGGTAATCACAGAAACTTGAATAAATATTTTTTTATTTTGTTGCTAATTAAACGTAGTAAAACTTATTCACATCTGTGGCTACAACTAATTTTATTCATCTATGTTCAACTATTATTAATTTTTATTTTATGCTTTAAAGTCTCAGTAAATCTATGCATAAATCATGTCTATCTCTATTAGTTTAACTTAGTATATTAATTTAACTTAGACGCCAGAAAAAAAAGCAAAAAAAAAAAAAGTTAAAACATCCATTCAACAACAATATAAAAAATCGGAGATTATGTAGGAAAAAAAAATCAATAGAGTAAAGCAGAAACAAAACACTATTTAAATGATGTTTTATTTAGCATTGTTTTTTTTAACTTAGTTTTTAAAAACTATAAGTTAACAAAATGTAACATAAAAGTTTATAAGCAAAACCTTTAAAAGATCTAACGCAGAAGAATATTTTTTCAAGCATTGTCTGCTCTGCAGACAAGTCATTTTTAGGGTAAAACTCCTAGTGTTCGCCTTGGTATAATATAAATTTTTCACTGGTTTTTCCATAAATTAATAACCTCTCAGCCTTAAGATTGAGAGTCGGTCTTTATGATGCTCTTAAAGTAAATGATCTTTGTTAATAAGTAAGAGAGCTTTAGCCCTTAAAAAAGGCAAATATCGACCACTACCAAGAAACATATGTATGCCATTTGGGAAATTTTTTTTTTCTGTTATTTAGGTGCCTTAAGAAGACCTAACGGTCCCGTCACAGAGCGCCGCGAAGTGCATTTAACCAGGAAGTTCACACCTCCTTCCTTACCGTGACGCAAAAATATGTCCAGAGCTCGTTTCGAACCTGGATCTCCTGCTTTTAGAACAAGCGCTCTAACCATTGTGCCACTGCCCCACTGATATATACTTTTGCTAGCATTCGGCTCCATCAATTAAAAAATTTTTTTTTTTTTTTTCTTAAGATTAATTTTCATGTGTAAATTACTTTTAAAGTTTTAAATACAGATTTTTTTTTTAATTTTTTTTACCTATAGTTGATCAAAAGACGATATTTATACTAGAAATCTTTGGTGATACGATTGCGTAGAATCTAAAAAAAAAAAAAAAAAAAACGAGAAAGAAAGATGATATTAACAGAGTGCGCATAAAAAGATTTTAAGTAAACTTTTTTACTAATTTAATAAAACACTTTGCTGAATCAAGCAGAGAAAAGTCAAATTAAAATTGTTCTTGAATCTGAAACCAACCTATCTAATCAGATGTTCATACCTGATGCTGTTTATGACTACTTCTTTCTTCTTTTTTTATTTTGGTAAACTCATTGGTTTAGATCTGGCTTCGCATATACAACTTTATTTTTGAAAAGGTTATTTTTGCCATCTTAGATGCATTTGTTCATTCTTTCCACTTTCGCTTGCTCTTGGTGTTTCTTTTTTTCTTTTACTACCATTTTTTTTTCAATATTTATTCGTCATTTATGAACATTTTACAATGTTCTTGTTTTACAATTTATGTTATATAGGAATAGGACAGCATTTAGCAATGTAAGGAAACATATATCATTTTTAGTATTGTTGATGGTGTGAACTATTTAGCTGAAGCTAAAATCTTCATATATTTTTCTTTTGTAAGTGTAAAAAAAAAACAATAAATATAAATTGTAGCATAATTTATGCACTATTTAGTTAATAAATAAAAATAGTTTTTTTATATATTGACATTTTTGGCCTTTTCTGAAGAAAACTTCTGTGAAATCTCTTGATCTAACTATGTCACTTTCAATGCACAACAAAGCCAAATAATTTAAACGAGGTTGTCCCATTGTTGATCTAAGTTCATTCTTAACTCTCTTAAGGACAGAAAATGATCTTTCACAAGTACAGTTTGTGACCATAAGAGATAATTAAATTCTCAACAAAGTGTAGACATTCACAAAGGTATCGGTCAAACTATAATTAACTAGGAAGGTGTACATTTGCAGTTCAACACAATCAGTTTCATTGGACGGTGACAATTTGGCAAACAGAAAAGTGAAGTGAATAAATTCACCATGACAGTTAGGTTCAACATCTTTAAAATATGTTTCACATACAAATGAAACATGATCTCTCCTACCATCATTGGACAAAGTTTTTAGATTTTTAAGAAAACCAAATCTTTTACTGACTGTATCATATGCATTAGCCCTCTGTTTAAGAGCAACTAACAATTGATCAACTATAGGTAAAAAAAACTGAACTTTAAACTTATCAGAAGGGGTAATTCTAGATCTTCTTAGTCACCATAATCTCCGGTTCCGGTGCTTTCGTCTTGCTTCTCCTTTTTACGAATTGGTACCCAGATCCTTCCTTTTCAAATGCTGTGAACTGGTTCCAAAGAGAATGAACAAAATCACACAAAGAACAATGCAGTTCCGTAGCGGTGTTGAAATCCATGTCCCTTGGAAGTAATTACTAGTTAAATTAAACCTATTCAGAACTTGAAACCACAATTGAACTAAGATAACTGTTTCATGATGACTCATTATATCATTTAATCCTACCGCTTCAAGTCATGTAGCTTTTGAGACATATCTTGCCACTTGCGTATATCCAACCTGGAGGGAGTGTACATCATCATAATGTGCTGACCATCTGGTATCAGATAACCTTTTTAAGATAGGCATATTAAGTGGCTTTAAAACTGCCATTAAACGATTCCAACGAGAGGTGGAGGAAGAATAAAAAAAATTATAATAAAATACAAATATTAAGGATCATTTTAATTCATTGTGTGTCTGAAGCTTATGCAATTTACGGACTTTATCAGTTTTGCTTTAATTATGCTACTTATCTTGGTGTATACAACACATAGTTTAAGAAAATTAAAGACACATACGTACCAATTCCCAACGAAATGGACAGTGATTCAGAAGAGGATGAACATGGAATTTACAATGATAATTTTAGTTTTGAATCATTAAACAGTTAGATTAATGTTGACTACCCTGAAACTTTGATAAACGCACGAAAAGTAGTAATTCATAAAAATGTCATCAGTTTGTAATCAAATTTTTCAGAAGTAAGTTACATCGGAATTCGGTAAAGAAATCAAACTGCCTCTAGATGATTGTCATTGTTACAGTTTACTTTCTTCAATAACTTTGCTATTGTTAAAAACTAAGAAATCTTTATTCTAGATATTTACTGGATTAAAAGCTCTTGATGTAATAAACAAGCTAGATTTTAGGTTAATTAACTTCATTACATGCTGCTTTAGAGTCAGCATAAACTAGGTGTGGAATTCCTTAGCAGAGAAGATGCAACGTTATCGACAGCAGATACAGTTCTTGAATTCATGCTTGTTACTGATCAATTAAAATGG